AAGTCGTTTTTTGATGCCTTTTGGTGTAGTTATAAGGACAATCCATTGGAAGGTCGTAACGTAATTATTGCTAGTTTCTGTCCTCAAGTATTTGGACTATACATAGTTAAGCTTTCTATATGCTTAGCTCTCGTTGGAGGGGTCCAGGTCAGTTTAATATTTATACATGTACCTTAGTTTTTGCTATTTGCATATTCCTAGCCTTAATTGGATTATTCTGCTGATTTTGAATATTGTATAATTAGTAAATTACTGTGATATTTACATGTATAATACCAATACATACGTGTGTCATAAAGCCTTAACTGTTGAGTGCATATAAACTTCTGTTAAGTACTGTTACTGTCTATATTTTCATGAAATCTTTGTTATAATGTAGGATTTACTTTACATGTAGTAATTGTAAATTGTGAAGTAATGTATAAATTCATTTATTGTAGTATGTTGATGAGTCTGGCACTCGTGTTAGAGGAGACTGTCACTTACTGCTAGTGGGAGATCCAGGTATAATATACTGGGAATTGTACTGTATATGTACATATACAATGTAGTCTGATCATTTTTCATGTATAATGTACATCATGATGTCTTCCATGCTACATGTATTTGTGTATATTAGAAAGTTTGAACTGATTCCGACTTAATTTTTTTGAGTTATGAACATTTTAAAAAATAGGCCAAATTTTAAAAAATACCCAAGGCTATAGCCCATCGTTTTTTGCAAAAAATGGCTCCGAAATCACCCCCAGTTTTTATTACATTTCTGATACATATTGATGTCCTTATGCTGTGTAGAAAGTTTGAACTGATTCTGACTTTAATTTTTTGAGTTGTGAGCATTTTTAAAAATTGGCCAAATTTAAAAAAATACCCAAGGCTATAGCCCATGGTTTTTTGTGAAAAAATGGCTCCGAAATCACCCCAGTTTTTATTACATTTTCTGATACATATTGATGTCCTAATGCTGCATAGAAAGTTTGAACTGATTCTGACTCAAAGTATTTGAGTTATAAGCATTTTTAAAAACTGGTCAAATTTTTGAAAAATACCCAAGGCTATAGCCCATGGTTTTTTGCAAAAAATGGCTCCGAAATCACCCCCAGTTTTTATTACATTTTCTGATACATATTGATGTCCTAATGCTGCGTAGAAAGTTTGAACTGATTCCGACTTAAATTTTTTGAGTTATGAGCATTTTAAAAAACTGGCTAAATTTTGAAAAATACCCAAGGCTATAGCCCATGGTTTTTTGTGAAAAAATAGCTCCGAAATCACCCCCAGTTTTTATTACATTTTCTGATACATATTGATGTCCTAATGCTGCATAGAAAGTTTGAACTAATTCTGACTCAAAGTATTTGAGTTATAAGCATTTTTAAAAACTGGTCAAATTTTTAAAAAATACCCAAGGCTATAGCCCATGGTTTTTTGCAAAAAATGGCTCCGAAATCACCCCCAGTTTTTATTACATTTTCTGATACATATTGATGTCCTTGTGCTGTGTAGAAAGTTTGAACTGATTCCGACTTAAATTTTTTGAGTTATGAGCATTTTAAAAACTAGCCAAATTTTAAAAATTACCCAAGGCTATAGCCCATGGTTTTTTTGCAAGAAATGGCTCCGAAGTCACCCCCAGTTTTTATTACATTTTTAATACCTATTGATGTCATTGTGCTGTGTGTTTGAGCTGATTTCACTGTAAATTTTTGAGTTGTGTGCATTTTTAAAGCCCAATTTTTAAAAATGCCCTTGGTTTTTTCCAAAAATTACCTTCGAAATTGCCCCAATTTTTGTTACATTTTCTATTGCATATTGATGTCCCTATGAAAGATTCCTGATACTATTTCTTCAACTGTGCCATCTTGTTTCTTATTTCAGTAGTCAGTCTTCCTTACACTTACTGAACTGTGTTTTGTCTTGTTTCTTTA